GAGAAATATGCCACACCGGGATTTGATTATTTACCAACATAATGTTGGATCCTAGCCAATGAGACACCAATATATTTTCCATTGAAGTCGGACGTATTGCCTGCTGCTTTCAATGCTGTTTTCTTGGCTGGCAGACAAAGTAACTGTGGCTGTTTCTAATTCACCTCTAATTCAAGTTGGGGTGGGGGGGAAATATCTTATGATTGGTTCATCTTACAGACACTGATCTCTTCTCCCTTGGGGTACAGAAGGTGAGTCTCCCAGAGTGAGGCCTGCCTATGGGCCTCTGACAGCCACTGGCCTCCGCTCTGCGGTCAGTCCTTCCACACAGCTAGTCAGGAAAGAGTCTAGCAAATCTTGGCCCCCTGGCTAAAAACAGAGAAGTGTAACAAGATCAGAGCACACTTTCATGATGTCTTGGATTGTCTTTTGCTCCCTCTTGTTTGAAGAGCCCAAGAGAACCTGACATAGAGAACAGGTTTTACAGTGGTTTGAGTTCCCAGAGCCATCGCTATCAGGCTAGTAGGAGCCTAAGAACCTACAGCGACCCTAAGAATTCGCAGAGGTACTTCTGCTGTGGTTGCTTGGTATCCATCAATTCCTGACCACTACAGTTTCTCACTGCAGAATTTTATCTCTCACCAAACAGCCGGGATATGGGTTTCTAAATGATACAATCAAAGAATTTAGAGTTAGGAGTAATTTTTCCAAAGAGGTTTAACACTCTGAAACAGAGAAAATTCTCATTAACTGAGAAGAAAGGATCTTAAAGGCTATTTACTTCCACTTCCCAACTGGGTAGGAACGATCTCTCATTTGAATACCTCTACTGATGGGGAGTTCATTACCCTACATCATTGGACAGTATTAGTACAATATTAGAATTGCAAGGGTATAATCAGATAATTCCCCATCTCTTATTGAAATGCTACCAGCCAGGTTTTATAAATATGAATTAACTGTTCATTTCAAGTCATTCAGAAAGAATATAACAATATTTACTGAGTAAAACCCTGGAAGTTAGTGTAACTACTGGTGTTGATGCTATACGGTACATAATGTAAGTCTACTGCGTTGGAATTTTTTCATTTGTTTATTTCATTTTATATCTCTAAGTTCATTATTTTTCAATTTCAACTTTACTCAATGTGTATTTATTATTCTTGACACCATGTCTTATAATATACACTCTCATTAGGGGGCGACATTATATCCCATGTGCCTGAAGTCCTCCGGGTGCGTACCTCATTATTTTAACATAATTTTTACCAGCACCCTTTTCACTCTCAAAAGTATCCTAGTTTGGATGATAAGTGTTATGGTCAAGTGCTGAACTCGAAAGTTTTAAAAAACTGTATTTCATTTTTTCAAACTGTACTAAAACTCGTCACCAATTAAGACTGGAGCCCCCAACCCCTGACTTCTCTGTACTCTCCTCAATTAATAAATGTCTATTTTATTTGGAAATGATAAATCTTCCTGACTATGGAGTACTTTTAATAAAGTGAATAGCTGCTCCGTGCTTAAGAACGACCACCACAGAGAGGCCGGAGGCTTGCTCTCTGCGAGGACGGAGGAGTCACTTTCCTGAAGTTATGGCAAGCCGGAGAGGACCTTTCTAAGTCAGGCACAGCATGCTGGTAAGTGTCACGTGGATGTCCTCATGCCAGAGAAAGCATTCCCTCTACTTGACCATATTTCTTTCATCTTTGGGTGCCTCAGTTTCTCTGTCTCTAAAAGAGCACAGTGATGCCCACTTCACAGGGCTGTGGTGGGATTAAAGGGATGGCAGACATAGGGCACTCAGCCACCTGGAACAAAGACATTCAGTAATTGCAAAATGTTCGGTTCCGCTTCTCCGGCCTGTAAAAAAGGGGCTCCCACTGACTTGAAAGAGAGCATCACACACAGACAAGTAGAAGCCCACTAGGACAGCAGGCCTATTACCCTCATTATCATTGTCCTAAAGTGCAGAGGAGAGAAAAGGGCAACAGAAAGGCTAAAAAACCGTGATCACAGAAAAACAAGACAAGGATAAAACTGACTGGGCCATGAAAGAAAACCTGAAAAAAATGAACGTCTTTTTGTTTTAAAAATTATCTGTGAAGATTACATGCCAGAAATAGCTTTTAAGGAGCCATCTATATATTCTCTGGTCACTTGATATAATAACACATTCATATATTTTTCACAACGGAGCCTGCCCTTGACCCTCACTCTACCCTTCCTTACATCATCCACCCTAAGCTAAATGCTAATGGCCGTTCGTTCAGTGGCCACTTTCAGAGTGGATTAAATTTAAAAGTTTCTATTTAGACAGCATTCTGTAAGGTACATTCAAATGATTAACCAATAGACAATGAAATTGAAACTGGTGATACTCTTTTGGCATAAAATACTGACTTCCCAGGCTGAAGAACGAGTTTGGACAAGTAGAAAGTGCCACTGTTGCTTTGGTGATCTCACAGTCAAGTCAATGTAAGACATTCTCCTGCACATTGATACCTGCTACTGAAATCAAATGGGGGAAAACGATAAATAGTAGGAGACGTCACTCCAAAAAGCAGTATTTTCCTGGCAAAAGCTGTGTCTCCAGAGTCCTTCAGAGCACTCTGGGAATGCACAGAAATTCACAAATCAATTTGCTAAATTGGCTTGGCTGGAAATCACGCTTCTGTGCATGGGTCCAGCTGAAAGGCATTTCTGACTCTACCAGACTCTCCCAGGACTCCTGTAACCAGGCCAAGAGTCAGGGGCCATGGTAAAAAGAGCGTGGACTTCCGGCCTGTTAGACCTGGGCTCAAATTCAAGCTCCACCATCTCTGGCTGAGAGACCTGTGATAAATCATGTGAGCTCTCTGAGAAGGGAATTATGTAATCCTACCAGCTTTACAAGGTGCTGAGAGGATTAAATGCCCAAGATATGTCAAAGAGGTGCACTTAGTTTGACTTTTTCAGTACAGCTATAAACAACCCAAATGACAGAAGCCCACCCCAAAACCCATCCACTCCCTCACTCCACTGCAGGCCAGGTGGACAAGCCATATCAAGTGAGGGCAGTTTTGAAAACACAAATATAAAATGCTTGCACGCACTTAACCAAAACAGAGGCCTTCATTTAAGTATCTGGAAGAGCCAAACAGCAGTGCTAATAAGGCAAAAATCCTTAGATGTCAAGAGATATTCTATTTTATCACCTGTATAGTTCTGCACTGGTAGGAATTATGCACAGGATTCATTTCTTTTAAAACCACACCCCTTGGCCATTCACAGTGGTCTTCCCAGGGCTGCCTGAGGCCAGATGAGGCTTCAGCCCCAAGTATGGAAGATGCAGAAGCCAAGGGAAGGGTCTCAGAGCACCCCGTCAGCCTTCCCATTCTACAGGTGAGAAAACTGAGGCTTGGAGGGGGGATTTGCTTGCCCAGAGTCAAACAATGAAGGCCTTGGGTTAGGATTTTTAGGAAAGCCACTCTAAACCAAACCTTTGACAAAATAATAGTAATAATAAATCTCGCCACGGAGCTTTATTCACTGATATTTCCAATTCTGTGGCAAACAATGTCATCAGTCCTTTGGGAAGGAGGCTTTCCTCCAATACCACAACAGCGGGAAATCTATGACACGTCAGTCTCATCTTACATTTCCCAGTATGACATGGAACCTAGTTTCTAACCTAGTTTCTAGGGGTTCCCAAATCTGAAAGACAAAAAAAAATCATCAAAAGAACCCTTTGAACATTGATGTGACATTTGTTGTCTCCTGGTAACAGACACTGTGCTAGGCCTACAACTTAAGTAAGATGGCATCATCTGAACATAATTTCTCAGAGGAAATTTAACAAATCAAATAGTTAGCCGACTTCTTATAGTGACCATTGATGATTTTTTCTTCAAAAACCAAATTCTCCATTTAAATTTCCTTTTTTTTTTTTGCGGTACGTGGGCCTCTCACTGTTGCGGCCTCTCCCGTTGCGGAGCACAGGCTCCGGACGCGCAGGCTCAGCGGCCATGGCTCACGGGCCCAGCCGCTCCGCGGCATGTGGGATCTTCCCGGACCGGGGCACGAACCCGTGTCCCCTTCGTGCCCCCTGCATCGGCAGGCGGACTCTCAACCACTGCGCCATCAGGGAAGCCCTCCATTTAAATTTCTGAACATAATAACTCCTAATCACTAACCAGTACATTTTAAAAGGTGATAGCCCATACAGAGCAAGATTTACAAACACCTAGGCAGAAGTGGGTCCCTGTTTCATAACTCTCCAACTGTTAATCATCAGTGATGACTAACTCTGGCATTAGGGAAACATTTCATCCTGAATATGCTAATTTAGAGACAGTGTTGTCAGGAGGCTAATTTCTGGCTCAAAGACACTTCAATGCCTAAAGCAGTTTTAAATCAAAAGCCCTTGTAGGAGACTTCCATCAGGACCAGGGGAAGACGGAAGCTGGAGGGGGGCATGAAGAAAGGGGAATTCAGGTTTTTAGGATGAAAGAGATGATAGAATCTGTCTAAAGGCTGAGGGGAAGGAAGCAGAAGAAACAAACAAACAAAGGAATATGCTCAATTCATAATGGAAGAGAAAGAGACCATTCAATTAGATTGATTATTGCTTTTTGTGGAATAACATCTCAAAACTCCTTGAATCCCAGCTTTAATAAAGATATATATATATATATATATATGGGAAAAAAATCCTTCCTGGGAAAGAAGAACTCAACTCCTAAATTATCAGGTTAATTCACAGTGTGGACATAAGAAATAGTAAATACACAGTTTGAGATTTGATTTGCAAAGTGAGAAAGGAAAGCATACTAAATTCTATAGAATGAGCTTTTCTGATCCCAGATATACTAAGAACTTGATAGTTTTTTGGCTGCAACGACTTGTAAATATCTAGAAGAGCCCAGATTTTGAAGCCCTGAGGACACTTGCTAAAACTCAGAAACTTGGCACTAGTCTTTGCACACAATTTGGGTTTTCTTTCAGAGTTGTTATCTTACCAAATAGAGCCATCTGTGTTCCCTCTGGGAAAGGTTCAACTGTTCTGTTGCCATTGACATGATGTTTGGCTAGAAAAAAAAAAGAAAGAAAGAAAGAAATGCAAGTTAAGTGTAAAGTTCTACACACATACTAACACATGTCATTAAATGTGTCAGAGAGCCCAGTTCTCATTTTTAGTTAGCAACGGTACCAAAGCTCACCCTCTTAAGAGAGTTTCAACTATTTTGTTTTTAATCTCAGTTACAAAAGAGCCTAGAGATGGCCTGATTCAGGCACAGCGTTTTACAAGTGAGCATGCCCAGACCCAAGCACGTGCAGAGCCATGCAGCGGGGGGCAGCAGAGCCAGCCCAGCCTGGAAGCTCCTGACTCCCGGCCAGAGGGTCCCCTGTGTGCCAGGCCATGCCCTGGACAACAAGGACAGCTCGGGATTCCAGGGTGCATCGAGGCGGCTTCCCCTGAGGACTCCTGATGACCAGAAGTAAAGTGAGCTGTAAAGACAGCAGGGTAAGCCTGGGACCAATTTTTCAAGAACCAGAATACCAGAAGACATCATTTCACAAGTCAAGCACTGTTCCAGGGGCCAGAGACGCTTGCCTTTTAACGACCAGACAGGCTTGCATTCCAGTGTTTCTTACTACTTGTCATCCACCCTCATCACCTCCACCAATCACCCTTCCCACCCGAGTGCATCATCAAGGACTTAGAAACAAAAAGTGACCAGCTTATGGTTTTCCAACATGAACTTATTTTTATAACCCCCAAACTGCAACCAGATAGAGAAGATCTGAGCATGGTCCGTCTACGAGTAGTCTAAGAAGATCCTCAGGAATGTCTGAATATGGGCATTTATGTTGAAAATACATAAGAAAAGAATGTCTAAAACACTTTGACACTGCATCATGGTGCACTTATATTTTGATTTCATGGGTCACATTAGATTTATTGAGCTCTGCACAGGGCTCAGCACCAAAGCTAGGCTCTGAGGCATCTAGAGGGGAAGACTGACATGGCTCTTGCCCTCAAGGAGTGTACAATTATCTTCAAGAGGTAAAAATTTCAAGAATGAACTTAACCAGAAAGCTTACAATTGTGTGCTAAGTCCTGGAGTGGGGACTAAAGGTACTGTAAGAGTTTGCAGCAGAGGGACAGCAAGCTGCAAGGCAGAGCCAGGGCCTGGAGGAACTGCAACTAGTGTCGAGTCTAAAAGGAGGAGCAGGGTTTGGAAAGGCAGAGGGTGAGGGAGCAACTCGAGTGAGAGCCAGGAGTAGATGCAACCAAGGCATCATCCTGGGCCAGACTAGAGTCTAGTCTGGGTGCAGTAGAGGAGACATGTTGAGAAGCAATGGCACTTCAGGAGGGATTGGTAGGCAGGCACCAGGTCATGGAAGGTCTTGAGAACCCCATCCAAATCCATGGGGACCCTAGGCAGCCTCCGCAGCACTACTGCAAATATTTTAGAACCTGAAGGCTTACGAGGCTCAGCCTAGCTAGACGATCCCTTCAGGATACCGTCAGTTCAGCGGCTTCCACGGATTCTTGAGGAATGGTGGCACTACCTGAAGAACAGACAGAATAGCTGGGAGAAGGCGAGGAGCCAGGCTGAACCAGAGAACAAGCCTGGCACCATCAGCAGATGCAAGAGGGAAGGTCACAGGTGGCCCTGGGACCTTGGACAGTGCTCAGATATGGTTAGGACCATTCGTTACGGAATCCAAAGGAATGTGATGGGTCTCCACATGGAGGCCACAGCTCTGTTCTACAGTTAGGACCCCAAAGCCCCTGTCAGAGGTTTTAAAACGTTTGCCTCTACACATATCAAGAGTTGTAAACCCATTCAAACTCTAACCCACTAATCCCACTCATAAAAATTTAATCTAAGGAAAAATGCGCGAGAAAAAAAAAAGGTGGTAGACATAAAAATATTTATTAAGGTATTACTGGTAATAAAGAAATCTTTAAAGCAACTAAATATCCAGAAACAGAGAAATAGCTTAGAAAATTATAATTCACGATTTATCACAAGCATGGACTATCATGCAACATTTTAAATATAGAATTTGAGAGATATATTGAAATGTGAAAAAATATTTGGGATAACAGTAAGTGAAAACAATTCTATTACACGCTGAATGTAGACTATAATAACAACTAACAAAAATGTGAATGCTTATGGGAAAAGACTGGCAGAGAAATATGCAAAAACAAAAATAACTAGGAAGATTATGCAAGATATTTATCTCTATCAATTGTCTTTGTCAGATTCTTATTTCCTAGATGAAAATATGTTTGTTTGGATTTTTAAAGTCAACAAAATTATAGATTTCTAAAATTTTTCCTGCAGTACTTAGTTTCCCAGGACAGTCCATCAGGACTTATGTATAGTCCAGTCGAAACACTACACACTTACCATAAAGAGCGTGGCCTATTTGACTTCTCCTCTGGGACAGCTCAAAAGCACCTCCAATGCAGCAGGATATCCTTCCACTCCAAACCTGACCCTCTTCCAGCATCCCTACCTCTGGGAATAGGACCACCATCCTCCTACTTTATAGGCATCCTTGCCCATTCTCTCTCCCTCGCTACCCATATCTAATCTATCACCAAATCTGGCTAATTTTGCCTTCCAGATATCTTTAGAGTCCTTCCCCTTCTTCCCTTCACCATCCAAGCCACCCTAGTCCCACCTCCTATGGCCTCCTTGCCTGCACGCCTACAAGCACCTCTAGGTCTTCCACATCCCCTTTCTAATTCATTCTTCTCGGTGTCGCCACAATTATCTTTTAACTCAGATTATATAACACAAAGTCCCCGACCCTCTACCCCACTTTCCATGGCTTCCCACTGCTCTTAGGCTAAAGTCAGAACTCTTTAATGCAGCTTCAAAAACCCACATGGTCCGGCCACCTCAGTCCCTCATTCCCTCTACTACAGTCAGGGCTGCACCTTACACTTAGTCATTATTCCAGCAAGTAGACTACAAGCTCAGAGAAGGCAGGGCTCATATTGGTTCACTGTTTCCACAATTACAGCACACTGTGGGACCCAGCATAGGTGTTCAATAAATAGTTGCTAAATTAACGAAGGAAAACAAACTACTAAAAAGTCTCTCTTCAGCCATTATGAAAGATATATTATTTGATACGCTAAACATATATCTCTCTTTATATGTACATGTGTCCCTTACATAAAAATGATCATTGAAAATGGCCACTCAGAGTCTCCCCAACCAGGTGGCCTGGTGATCAAGGAACTCTTCTGTTCTAGTCCTTAAATGCCACTCCTCTTCCCTTCCCATCCACCTACTCTCATCTGAGAAAATGGATGTGGAAAGATTGGAAATCCTACCCGGAGAGGAAGGAGGATTCACATGCAACTCTCTCCTCAGTGCCAAAGTTCCCCGGGACTCTGTCTTATCTTTCATTCTAGAGCCTGAGGCCCAAAGATAACAAGCCCTGTTTACTTCATTTTGCATTTTCTCCTGAACCACAGCTGACCCATACACCAGTCCCTGGACAGCAAAGGCACAGCATTAGCCAAGGAGAGACAGCACAGTATCCAGGGCTAAGGAACAAAACTGCCTGACCCTGAATCTCAGCTCTTCCCCTTCCTAGCTGTATGACCTTGGCTTAGCAACTTAGCCTCGTTGTGCCTCCGTTTCCTCGTGCCTCCGTTGCCTCATTTGTAAGGGTTTACTCATTTGTACCTACTTTGTGGGTTGCTTTGAGAATCAAATGAATTAATACATGCAAAGCACTTAGAACAGTGCCTGGCATGCAGTACACATTACTTAACTGTTAGGCTAGTATTACCATTTACATGTGAACTTTGTTTTTCACAAGATCTGAGTCAGGAATGACAAATACATGGCACATATTTACTTCTCCTCCGCTTTCATGCCCGTGGCAGACATCATTAACCAATCACAGCAGACTTTCATGATCCCCAAATATGACCACAAAATCTTTTCTCAACTTAGCACCCCACAGAGTCTCTTATTCCTTCGGGGGGGGGGGCATGTGTGATGAAATCACTTTGTTATTCCTGGTCTAAGTGAATAGAACAGAAAGATGGTACAAAGAAAAGCCATTTTCTTTCTCATTTCTACATAATACAGGGCAATTTTTAAAAAGACTCTTTGAAAATCTCCAAAACTCTACACAGCTTTACTGATAAAAGAATGGAGGAAAATCTGAGCGCTACTTTCCATTCCATGAGGAGAGAACACGGAGTTTTTAAAAACCAAGCAATGGCAGTGCCAGTCCTGCAAACCGAGGGCATTTTCCCATTGAAACTCTGCTGAGGCAAGTACAGGACTTGGGGGCCAAAGAACCAGAGACCCTTTAAACATATTCTAAAGGTCAAATAAGACTGGGGGTGGGGAGACTCACCTGGGAACCTAATCAGCATTTGTCATTTTTTTTTCAAAATTGGTGGCACATTTCACCACAGAAACAATCAAACTGACTAAACAGAAAAGTCACTCATTGACTGGGCACTAACTATTGATTACCAGCAGAGCATGACACGGAAACAGGAGGGGGTCTGTGACAGGGGCATCTGTTGCCTGGCCACAGCAGGGTGGACACATCCCATCTGGCTGGTTGGGCTCCGTGGGAGCATGTTCTAAAGCCCCACGCTCCAGGAAGACAACCTCTACTGATGGCCATGACGTGTCCTCGGTCAAGGGCATGTGAGGACGAGGAACAGATTTCCATTTATCTTGAAAGCCCAGTGCTCGAGGAGCAGCGAGGTTAATTAGAGCACGATTGGGTCAAAGTCAACTATCGGAGAGATTTTGAAGGGGATTTGGGGGGCACTTAAAAAGCTTTAGAAGATGATACTGACGCTGTTGCTTGTTTTGTTTTGTTTTATGAATGTCTAATGCACTTCAGACTTTATGACTGTTTTCTTCCTTCAGAAAAATACAATAAAACAGTTCAATAATGCACCTGCAATAATGCAAATGCAGACATAAACCAACCGGTGATTAGCACCACGTCCTGTGCTCAAGCTGAGAGCTAAAATTCCTATCTTCTGGGTAAGGTTGTCGGAGGGACTTATAGGTAA